AGAATTCTCTAAATTAGCATCAGCTAACGCTAAAGGCTGAGTTAACCGTTAGCCACGTTAGCCACTCCGTTGGCCGCCTCCACACTACATCACTGACATCAACACCTAGAGTTGGGATTATTCAGATAACTCCCGACACCCGCAGGAACCGTGAAAAGTATGTGCACGACAGAAAGATGAAACCAGACAATGATGTTTGCTCTCATGGTGAGGACATGGAGAGCCTGACACACTGCATTACAGACTATATTCTCTTCTGTGTGGATAACACTGTACCAACTAAGAAGGTGCGGTGTTTTTCTAACAACCACCCATGGGTGACCCCTGAGCTTAAAGCCCTCCTGAACCTCAAGAAAAGGGCTTTCATCTCAGGGGACAGGGAGGAGCAGAGGATCCAGCACGAGCTCCAGTGGAGGATCAGGAGGGCCAAGAAGGACTATGGGAAAAAGCTGGAGCAGAAGCTGTCCCAGGGAAACGCCCGCGACGTGTGGAGAGGCCTAAAGAACATCTCTGGCTTTGGACAAAGTGCCAGAGGGACAGCGGATGGAGACCAGCACCGGGCGGATGAATTTAACCAGTACTTCAACCGGTTTGATTCTCCCCCCTCTCCATCTGCCCCCCCTCCCGCCCCCACCTCTTCACACGTCTCCAGCCCAGTGGACACCGCCCAGTGGACACTGCCTCCGGCTGCCCCGGGCCCTCCTGCCCCCGCATTCCCAGCCCCCACCTCGGACAGTACACCCCAGTCCCCCCCCTCTCCATCACACCGGACCAGGTGAGGAGTCAGCTCCAGCGCCTGAAGCTGAGGAAATCCGCAGGACCGGACGGGATCAGTCCCAGGCTGCTGAGGACCTGTGCAAACTGTTGAACCTTTTTGCAAAGGTCATTATCCACAATTTCATCCCTAATCTTTGCTGTTCACCTGCAGGGGGCGCTACACACTGTCCTAGTGTAACAGCAGTTTCAATAGGTCTGCCTGATGTTTCCCATAGAGACCATAGAGCCACAGTGTGTCCTGTGTGGGCCTCTGTAGGTAAACAGACGCAGTAGGATCAGCGCAGTAGGACCAGTGCAGTAGGACCAGCGCAATAGGACCAGCGCAGTAGGACCAGTGCATTAGGACCAGCGCAGTAGGACCAGTGCATTAGGACCAGCGCAGTAGGGCCAGCGCATTAGGACCAGCGCAGTAGGACCAGCGCAGTAGGACCAGCGCAGTAGGATCAGCGCAGTAGGACCAGCGCATTAGGACCAGCGCATTAGGACCAGCGCAGTAGGACCAGCGCATTAGGACCAGCGCAGTAGGACCAGCGCATTAGGACCAGCGCATTAGGACCAGCGCAGTAGGACCAGTGCAGTAGGACCAGCGCATTAGGACCAGCGCAGTAGGACCAGCGCAGTAGGACCAGCGCATTAGGACCAGCGCATTAGGACCAGTGCAGTAGGACCAGTGCAGTAGGACCAGCGCAGTAGGACCAGCGCAGTAGGACCAGCGCATTAGGACCAGCGCAGTAGGACCAGCGCAGTAGGATCAGCCCAGTAGGACCAGCGCATTAGGACCAGCGCAGTGGGACCAGCGCAGTAGGCCGCGCAGTAGGACCAGCGCAGTAGGACCAGCGCAGTAGGACCAGCGCAGTAGGACCAGCGCAGTAGGACCAGCGCATTAGGACCAGCGCAGTAGGACCAGCGCATTAGGACCAGCGCATTAGGACCAGCGCATTAGGACCAGCGCAGTAGGACCAGCGCATTAGGACCAGCGCATTAGGACCAGTGCAGTAGGACCAGCGCATTAGGACCAGCGCAGTAGGACCAGCGCATTAGGACCAGCGCATTAGGACCAGCGCATTAGGACCAGCGCATTAGGACCAGCGCAGTAGGACCAGCGCATTAGGACCAGCGCAGTAGGACCAGCGCATTAGGACCAGCGCAGTAGGACCAGCGCTGTAGGACCAGCGCATTAGGACCAGCGCAATAGGACCAGCGCATTAGGACCAGCGCAATAGGACCAGCGCAGTAGGACCAGCGCATTAGGACCAGCGCAATAGGACCAGCGCAGTAGGACCAGCGCATTAGGACCAGCGCAGTAGGACCAGCGCAGTAGGACCAGCGCATTAGGACCAGCGCAGTAGGACCAGCGCATTAGGACCAGCGCAATAGGACCAGCGCAGTAGGACCAGCGCATTAGGACCAGCGCAGTAGGACCAGCGCATTAGGACCAGTGCAGTAGGACCAGTGCAGTAGGACCAGCGCAGTAGGACCAGTGCAGTAGGACCAGCGCATTAGGAGCAGCGCATTAGGACCAGCGCAGTAGGACCAGCGCATTCTCTTAACCGCTCACCAGGTCCACACGCCGCGCCTCCTGTAAAGAATGTCTTTGTTTGATCTCCACATGCGACATCACCGTCTGATATTTATGACTTCACCAGAATCACACAAATCTGGAACAACCCACGGAGCACAGCTGGAAAAACAAGGCGTCAGATCCATGTTTACTGGGAAGTGTGTGTGTGTGTGTGTCTGTTTGTGTGTCGGTGTGTGTCTGTGTGTGTGTGTCGGTGTGTGTGTCTCTGTGTGTCTGTTTGTGTGTCGGTGTGTGTCTGTGTGTGTGTGTCGGTGTAGGTGTCTCTGTGTGTGTCTGTGTGTTTGTGTCGGTGTGTGTGTCTCTGTGTGTCTCTGTGTGTGTGTGTCTGTGTGTGTGTGTCTCTGTGTGTGTGTGTGTCTGTGTGTGTGTGAAGAGGGGAAAGTGTGTGTCTGTGTGTGTGTCTGTGTGTGTGTGTCTCTGTGTGTGTGTGTGTGTGTGTGTCTCTGTGTGTGTGTGAAGAGGGGAAAGTGTGTGTCTGTGTGTGTGTCTGTGTGTGTCTCTGTGTGTGTGTGTCTGTGTGTGTGTGTGAGGAGGGGAAAGTGTGTGTGTGTGAGAATCAGAATCCTTTGGGAAATGTGTTTGTGTGTGTGTGACAAGGGGAATATTTGTCTGTGTGTGTTTGTTTGTGACAAGGGGAGTGTGTGTGTGTTTGTTTGTGTTACGAGGGGAATGTGTGTGTGTGTGTATGAAGAGAAAGTGCTAGTATTCTACAGAAGGCGACAATGTAACCTGTGATTTAACGACACCAAAGTTTATGACACTGGTCTCCTGCTCCTCGTGGACCAATGAAACTCCTGTTGTGATTTAGAGCGATAAAATAATAAATAAATTGAATGGTTCCAGATCATTGTAAGAACTGTCTCTGTTTCCATCCGTGTCCACGTCACAGACAGAATCCACACCTCTGGACTGAATGGAGGAGCAGCAGTCTATTCTGAGCTCCTCTCCCTGTCTCTTGACACTAGAACTCCCAGAGCAGTCAATTTGACGGCTTTTTATTTTGGTGTTTATATATAATTTCTCTGTAGTTTATTACCACAAAAACATGTTTATGAAATTATCTCAACCCAGACTGATCCTGGACTAGTTCTGGACTGATCCTGGACTGATCCTAGACTTGCCCTGGACTGGTCCAACGTCCGAACAAATTGTTTTTTGTTCTTACGATTTTATAGTTTTCAGCAGGAAACTGAAATCGTTTTTGCAGCATTTGAAGATTGATTGACAGCGGCTCTGGCCAATCAGAATTGATGTTCATCAACGTCAGATTGTTTTGATATTGGCCCGGCTAGAACCAGGGCCGAGCCTTTACTAAAAAAGTATTGGGTAGCAGCTAAAGCGAGTCGGTGGAAACGCCCAAAAACCGGAGAGAGTCGAGTCGAGTCGAGTAGGTCCTGTAGACCGGAGACCGGTCCTGTAGACCGGAGACCGGTCTTGCGGTCCTGTAGACTGGTCCTGTAGAGCGGTCCTGTAGACCGGTCCAGGACTGGTCTTTAGTTTTGTATTTCAGTGTTAAACATAAAAAACTGACAACATGACAACAGAGAATAAAACAGTTTGGTGATAAATGCTCAGGGCCAAAGATGTGAGTTTGTTGCTTAGCAACCACCAGTTGTCTGTCAAAGTTAATGTCATTAACTTTGTTTTATTTGTCCATTAAAATGTGATGTTCCTTCATTAATTTTGTGTCAGACTTAATTAAAAGAGTCTCGAGTTCTGTCTTCACCCAATTTAAATTTACTTTAACTTTTCACTACAAAAACACAGACACACACATGCACACACAGACAGTGAAAAACCACCCTCTCTCAGCCAATCAGCTCGCAGTGAAAGATAAACATTTGTGTCTGATTTGAAAGTTACTTAAACAAGGACAATATTTAGTTTAGTCAAAGCAAAGGAAGGTTTCTCACCATCATCTGTACTTCTGCAGGTTTTCCCGACGTTTCATCCTCAATCCAAAGGACTTCTTCAGGGAATGAATTCTCAGACCGAGCGTTGGAGATTTATAACCTATGGGTGTGGTAAGCCACACCCTAATCCTGATACTAACTCATAAACAATCTAAGGTCTGATGTAGAAGGGAGCAGGTCTAACGACCCTAACTCCTTGGCATGCTAATGTATTAGGATTACTATCAGGATTAGGGTGTGGCTAACCCAGATGATGGTGAGAAACCTTCCTTTGCTTTGACTAATCCCTGTACGACTGAGGGCTTACACAAACATTAGTTTAGTTTAGTTTAGTTTAGTTTAGTTCTGCAGCTTCCTTTGCGTGTCGTTCCAAAGCTGTCTCACTATGAACACATTTAATTCAGACTCGGCACATTCTGCCTAAAAACAGTTTCAGATTTTTGTAAAGTTCTTAAAGCAACAGTCCTTAAATTAAACAAAATGTCCAGCTCCTGTCGGAGAATCTGGTTTCACCGCAGTCAGAACGTGTCAGATTAAGTTAAAAAACACTGGATTCAAGTTTTTATTTCCTCATGTTTCTCACATTTTTTGCAGTGTGTTCAGAAAGTTTCCGTAAAGCCGTGTGGGAAACTCTCTAATCGGAATGATCCTAATGTCATTATTTCTACGGAGCTTATTCTCAGATATTTATAGTTCATTAATCCACATAAAGCAGATGATGTGGCTAATCAGACAGTAAACCTCTCCTCCTCCTGCTCCTGCTGGTCCTGCTCAGCGCGGTCCACAGTAAACCTCTCCTCCTCCTGCTCCTCCTGGTCCTGCTCAGCCCGGTCCACAGTAAACCTGTCCTCCTCCTGCTCCTGCTGGTCCTGCTCAGCCCGGTCCACAGTAAACCTCTCCACCTCCTGCTCCTCCTGGTCCTGCTCAGCCCGGTCCACAGTAAACCCCTCCCTCCTCCTGCTCCTCCTGGTCCTGCTCAGCCCGGTCCACAGTAAACCCCTCCCTCCTCCTGCTCCTCCTGGTCCTGCTCAGCCCGGTCCACAGTAAACCTCTCCTCCTCCTGCTCCTGCTGGTCCTGCCCAGCCCGGTCCACAGTAAACCTCTCCTCCTCCTGGTCCTGCTCAGCCTGGTCCACGGTAAACCTCTCCTCCTCCTGCTCCTCCTGGTCCTGCTCAGCCCGGTCCACGGTAAACCTCTTCCTCCTCCTGCTCCTCCTGGTCCTGCTCAGCCCGGTCCACAGTAAACCTCTCCTCCTCCTGCTCCTCCTGGTCCTGCTCAGCCTGGTCCACAGTAAACCTCTCCTCCTCCTGCTCCTCCTGGTCCTGCCCAGCCCGGTCCACAGTAAACCTCTCCTCCTCCTGCTCCTCCTGGTCCTGCTCAGCCCGGTCCACAGTAAACCCCTCCCTCCTCCTGCTCCTCCTGGTCCTGCTCAGCCCGGTCCACAGTAAACCTCTCCTCCTCCTGCTCCTCCTGGTCCTGCTCAGCCTGGTCCAAATTACCTGGACTGGCCTCCTGCTGGGACTCTGAGGAGCACAGGGACTGGCCTCCTGCTGGGACTCTGAGGAGCACAGGGACTGGCCTCCTGCTGGGACTCTGAGGAGCACAGGGACTGGCCTCCTGCTGGGACTCTGAGGAGCACAGGGACTGGCCTCCTGCTGGGACTCTGAGGAGCACAGGGACTGGCCTCCTGCTGGGACTCTGAGGAGCTCAGGGACTGGCCTCCTGCTGGGACTCTGAGGAGCACAGGGACTGGCCTCCTGCTGGGACTCTGAGGAGCACAGGGATTCGCCTCCTGCTGGGACTCTGAGGAGCACAGGGACTGGCCTCCTGCTGGGACTCTGAGGAGCACAGGGACTGGCCTCCTGCTGGGACTCTGAGGAGCACAGGGACTGGCCTCCTGCTGGGACTCTGAGGAGCACAGGGACTGGCCTCCTGCTGGGACTCTGAGGAGCACAGGGACTGGACTCCTGCTGGGACTCTGAGGAGCACAGGGACTGGACTCCTGCTGGGACTCTGAGGAGCACAGGGACTGGACTCCTGCTGGGACTCTGAGGAGCAGAGTCAGGACTAAACATGTGGAGGCAGAAGTTCAGATTCATGCTGCTAATACAGTGTCTGGAACAGTCTTCCTGAACATGTGAGACAGGCTTCTTCTCCGACATTGTCCAAATCCAGGTTAAAACAGCTCTGTTTTTCTGTGTAAACCTGATGGATTGTAACTTTTCCTTTTGGAAAATATTGTTTTAATGAAATATCAAAATATGCTCCAATTACGATAATGTAGCAATTTTTTCTTTCTTATTTTTCTTCACTTTTTGCAGAGTTGTTGCTCCTTCACTAAAAGTCAAAGTTGTGAGTTTCTCTGTCCTGATTGGTTCTGTTTACGTTTGTAATTGAGACGGGACCTGGAGCCGAGAGGTCGACTTTTCACCCCTGTCAATCACCCAAACTGACGTGCGCTGACATGCTGCAGTACCACCCCGGGCCTGTGGGGGTGGACCCAGAATAAGAATTAGCCAATGCTAACATATAGCATTGGCAGACGTCTCAAAAACGTCTTTACAGGATGGTTCAAAAGTTGTCTCTTGGCCCAAAGCTCCGTTCCACATGTGTGTCAATGCTGAGTGTTCTGGACCAGTCTAGTTTAGTCGCTGTGGACTTTAGAAGTCTCTCGTTTAAATGAATGGAGTTGCGCCGGCTGACGCATGCACAGATGCGTTTTTTCACAATTTTCTTGTGGGCGGGACCACTCGCGGCCATTTTGGATTGCTCCAGTAGAGCACTATTTTTGGCCCATTTGTTAGAACGGCGGAGATAGGCGTGACTCTGTCCGTTAATATATACAGTCTATGGTCAGGGGTCAGAGGGAGTAGAGTAGAGTTAGGTAGAGTAGAGTAGAGTAGAGTAGTATAGAGTAGTCACGGACCATGTGAGCGGACCATGTGAGCGGACCATGTGAGCGGACCATGTGAGCGGACCATGTTAGTGGACCATGGGCTGTAACTGAATCCTTCAGGTTCAGCAGTGAGTGATGGACACGTCAGCGGCTCATAAAGACAAACATTACGTCGTGTGAAAAGTGTTTTGTAGAAAGCTCATAAAATTCTTCCTCTGAGCCTCATTACAGCACATTAATAATAGAGTCCCAGCGCAGCAGAGGCGTGTTGTTTTAACCTGAATCTGTCAGAGCTGGGAACCCTCTGCTGGAGCGCTTATGAGAGCCCGGGCCAAACACAACAAGCACCGAGCCAAAGCTAAAGCTAACGTCTTGTTTCTACCTGTAAATGTTAGTACAGCAGAATGTTCATGGTTTCACACTGATCCAGACCAGAGCAGAGACGATGGTCCCAAACAGATCAAAGTGGAAATCCTGCTTTTTTTGTTTTTAAATGCTAATAAAGATTAATATTAGAGCATTGCACATTCTGGTCCTGTATTGCACATTCTGGTTCTGTATTGCACATTCTGGTCCTGTATTGCACATTCTGGTTATGTATTGCACATGCTGGTTCTGTATTGCACATTCTGGTTCTGTATGGCACATGCTGGTTCCGTATGGCACACTCATGGTTCTGTATTGCACATTCTGGTTCTGTATGGCACATTCTGGTTCTGTATTGCACATTCTGGTTCTGTATTGCACACTCATGGTTCTGTATTGCACATTCTGGTTCTGTATTGCACATGCTGGTTCCGTATGGCACACTCATGGTTCTGTATTGCACATTCTGGTTCTGTATTGCACATGCTGGTTCTGTATTGCACATTCTGGTCCTGTATTGCACATTCTGGTTCTATATTGCACATGCTGGTTCTGTATTGCACATTCTGGTTCTGTATGGCACATGCTGGTTCCGTATGGCACACTCATGGTTCTGTATTGCACATTCTGGTTCTGTATTGCACATTCTGGTCCTGTATTGCACATTCTGGTCCTGTATTCCACATTCTGGTTCTGCATTGCACATTCTGGTTCTGTATTGCACATTCTGGTTCTGTATTGCACATTCTGGTTTGGTATTGCACACTCATGGTTCTGTATTGCACATTCTGGTTCTGTATCGTACATTCTGGTCCTGTATTGAACATTCTGGTCCTGTATTGCACATTCTGGTCCTGTATTGCACATTTTGAGATGACTTCAGGTTAGTATTTCCCGGATGCTCGGCACGTGAGCAGTTCATGTGTTTCCATCAGTAAAAGCATAAATAAATAATGCGGCGGGCTGTTAGCGGGTCTCCTGGCGCCGGAGCACAGATGTTTGCGGAGGACGGAGGGAGTGGACGGGCTTTGAACCCTCTCCTCCGTGAGGCAGTTGTGAAATTTGGGAGTTTATTAATTTGATGGAGAGAACATCCCGGACCGTGTTTATCTCCGCCAGGTCTGGTCTTGGCCGCAGCTTATCTGGCAACGTGGATCTGACAAACTGTGGCGAGGACGAGCCCACGGTTGAACTGAAAGTAAACATTTTTCATTTCACAGTTTTATTGGTTAATAAAACTGACAAGGTACTTTTCAAAACATTAAGATTTACTTAAGACCTGTTTCCTCCAGCTCTACTCGACTCGACCCTACTCTACCCTACTGTACTCTACCTGGTACCAGTTGAATCGGGGTAGAGTAGGGTAGAGTAGGGTAGAGTGGGGTAGAGTGGGGTAGAGTAGGGTAGAGTGGGGTAGAGTAGGGTAGAGTAGGGTAGAGTAGGGTAGAGTGGGGTAGAGTGGGGTAGAGTAGGGTAGAGTAGAGTAGAGTAGAGTAGGGTAGAGTAGGGTAGAGTGGGGGGTAGTAGGGTAGAGTAGGGTAGAGTAGGGTAGAGTAGGGTAGAGTAGGGTAGAGTAGGGTAGAGTGGGGTAGAGTAGGGTAGAGTAGGGTAGAGTAGGGTAGAGTGGGGTAGAGTGGGGTAGAGTGGGGTAGAGTAGGGTAGAGTAGAGTAGAGTAGAGTAGGGTAGAGTAGGGTAGAGTAGAGTAGAGTAGGGTAGAGTGGGGTAGAGTAGGGTAGAGTAGAGTAGAGTGGGGTAGAGTGGGGTAGAGTAGGATAGAGTGGGGTAGAGTAGGGTAGAGTAGGGTAGAGTAGGGTAGAGTGGGGTAGAGTGGGGTAGAGTAGGGTAGAGTAGGGTAGAGTAGGATAGAGTAGGGTAGAGTGGGGTAGAGTGGGGTAGAGTAGGGTAGAGTAGGGTAGAGTAGGGTAGAGTGGGGTAGAGTGGGGTAGAGTAGGGTAGAGTAGGGTAGAGTGGGGCTGCTGGAGGACTTTAGATAATAACCAATAGAAAAGAACTGACAGATTTAGACACTGTTGGATTAGAACCAAATGGAAACATTATCATTCAAAGTTTTAAATGAACAGGACAAGTTAAAAATAACCGTGTAATAAAATACTTGTCATTCTTCACTCTCAAAACAGTTGGTTCTTTATGTTTTTTCATGTATTTTTTGCTCTTATGAGTAATCAATAGATAACATGTGTTAAAATGAAATAATTTCTATATGTTTTGTTCTGATTTGGTTCAAACTCTTCTCTTCCACTGCTCTCTCTGCTCCAACAAACATGTATAAACTAAAACTAAAAGGTCATGTTCCCAAACGTCTCCGACATGAATTCCTCTTTTTTACAGTGTGTGTTTGGCAGAGGCTCCTCTGATGCTAACGCTGATGCTAACGCTGATGCTAACGCTAACGTTGATGCTAAGTCAAGTCAGCTGTATAAACAGAGCCAGTGGTGTTTGATGGTCCGTCTGTGACCACAGACCGGGCCAGGGCGGACCATGTGGAGCTGCTGCTGGTGATTACAGCAGGGATTTGAACCCTCCATTGTTTTAAGGAGGCGTTTGTTGAGCTCTTCTTGGATAAAGGTTGGATTGGACTGGACTGGAGATCCGGAGAGTTGGACGTCTGGATAAATACAGTCTGAACATGTTTACGCAGCACATTCCACAGATCAGAGAGAGTTCCAACATTTACTGAAAGTGTCTGAAGGAAACAGTTGTTTTTAGGAGAATTTAACTTCAGAAAAAGGTTTCTTCAACAATAACATCATCTTTTACTTGTTACTGTTCCAATAATACTGTCTCTGATTGTAAAGTATCACAATACTGCAGTACTTTGTAGTTACTTTCACCAAATATATATAAATACAAGCTAACTGTAGCTTAAGATGCTAGCATGAACCAATATGAGTTTGGTGGAGTAATGGATTTAAAAAAGAATAGATCCCCAGGACTGAAAGTATTAGTGTTTTTACAGTATGTTGGCACCGAGCCATGTCTTATTTTAAAGTTTTTTACATTTCTCTGTTGTGAGATCAATAACGTTTATCGTATTTTATCTAAGTTTGGGGAATATTTTCTGGTGGATTTTTCGAACAATACTCGTTTATTGACTGTTTGTTTAAACTGATCCCAAATGATTGACAATGATTTAAAATGTTTAATTTACTTCAACAATTCATAATGAAGTGTTTGGTACGACTTCTGAATACGTATATGGGTGTTCTGAGGAACCAGAACCTCCTGAGGGCAGCTGTGGAACCAGAACCTCCTGAGGGCAGCTGTGGAACCAGAACCTCCTGAGGGCAGCTGTGGAACCAGAACCTCCTGAGGGCAGCTGTGGAACCAGAACCTCCTGATGGCAGCTGGGGAACCAGAACCTCCTGAGGGCAGCTGTGGAACCAGAACCTCCTGATGGCAGCTGTGGAACCAGAACCTCCTGAGGGCAGCTGTGGAACCAGAACCTCCTGAGGGCAGCTGTGGAACCAGAACCTCCTGATGGCAGCTGTGGAACCAGAACCTCCTGATGGCAGCTGTGGAACCAGAACCTCCTGAGGGCAGCTGTGGAACCAGAACCTCCTGAGGGCAGCTGTGGAACCAGAACCTCCTGAGGGCAGCTGTGGAACCAGAACCTCCTGAGGGCAGCTGTGGAACCAGAACCTCCTGAGGGCAGCTGTGGAACCAGAACCTCCTGATGGCAGCTGTGGAACCAGAACCTCCTGAGGTCAGCTGTGGAACCAGAACCTCCTGATGGCAGCTGTGGAACCAGAACCTCCTGAGGGCAGCTGTGGAACCAGAACCTCCTGAGGGCAGCTGTGGAACCAGAACCTCCTGAGGGCAGCTGTGGAACCAGAACCTCCTGAGGGCAGCTGTGGAACCAGAACCTCCTGAAGGAAGCTGTGGAACCAGAACCTCCTGAGGGCAGCTGTGGAACCAGAACCTCCTGAGGTCAGCTGTGGAACCAGAACCTCCTGAGGGAAGCTGTGGAACCAGAACCTCCTGAGGTCAGCTGTGGAACCAGAACCTCCTGAAGGCAGCTGTGGAACCAGAACCTCCTGAAGGCAGCTGTGGAACCAGAACCTCCTGAGGGAAGCTGTGGAACCAGAACCTCCTGAGGGAAGCTGTGGAACCAGAACTTCCTGAGGGCAGCTGTGGAACCAGAACCTCCTGGAGAGAGCTGTGGAACCAGAACCTCCTGAGGGCAGCTGTGGAACCAGAACCTCCTGAAGGTAGCAGTGGAACCAGAACCTCCTGAGGGAAGCTGTGGAACCAGAACCTCCTGAGGGCAGCTGTGGAACCAGAACCTCCTGAAGTGAGCAGTGGAACCAGAACCTCCTGAGGGCAGCTGTGGAACCAGAACCTCCTGAGGGCAGCTGTGGAACCAGAACCTCCTGAGGGCAGCTGTGGAACCAGAACCTCCTGATGACAGCTGTGGAACCAGAACCTCCTGAAGGCAGCTGTGGAACCAGAACCTCCTGAGGACAGCTGTGGAACCAGAACCTCCTGAAGGCAGCTGTGGAACCAGAACCTCCTGAGGACAGCTGTGGAACCAGAACCTCCTGAGGACAGCAGTGGAACCAGAACCTCCTGAGGGCAGCTGTGGAACCAGAAACCTCCTGAGGGCAGCTGTGGAACCAGAACCTCCTGAGGGCAGCTGTGGAACCAGAACCTCCTGATGACAGCTGTGGAACCAGAACCTCCTGAAGGCAGCTGTGGAACCAGAACCTCCTGAGGACAGCTGTGGAACCAGAACCTCCTGAAGGCAGCTGTGGAACCAGAACCTCCTGAGGACAGCTGTGGAACCAGAACCTCCTGAGGGCAGCTGTGGAACCAGAACCTCCGGAGGGCAGCTGTGGAACCAGAACCTCCGGAGGGCAGCTGTGGAACCAGAACCTCCGGAGGGCAGCTGTGGAACCAGAACCTCCGGAGGGCAGCTGTGGAACCAGAACCTCCGGAGGGCAGCTGTGGAACCAGAACCTCCGGAGGGCAGCTGTGGAACCAGAACCTCCGGAGGGCAGCTGTGGAACCAGAACAGGATGGAAATGTAAAACACACCTGAATATGTGCTTTTTCTGCTGCTGCGAATCTGTCTGTATTACGGCCCCTGTATCGTATCTCGGCCCCTGCATCTTGGTCCTTGTATCTCGGCCCCTGTATCTCGGCCCCCGTATCTCGGCCCCTGTATCTCGGCCCCCGTATCTCGGCCCCCGTATCTCGGCCCCCGTATCTCGGCCCTTGTATCTCGGCCCCCGTATCTCGGCCCCCGTATCTCGGCCCTTGTATCTCGGCCCCTGTATCTCGGCCCCCGTATCTCGGCCCCCGTATCTCGGCCCCCGTATCTCGGCCCTTGTATCTCGGCCCCCGTATCTCGGCCCCCGTATCTCGGCCCTTTGTATCTCGGCCCTTGTATCCCGGCCCCCGTATCTCGGCCCCCGTATCCTGGCCCCTGTATCTTGGCCCCCGTATCCCGGCACCTGCATCTTGGCCATTGTATCTTGGCCCCTGTATCTCGGCCCCCGTATCCCGGCCCCTGTATCCCGGCCCCCGTATCCTGGCCCCTGTATCTTGGCCCCCGTATCCCGGCCCCTGCATCTTGGCCCTTGTATCTCGGCCCCTGTATCTCGGCCCCCTTATCTCGGCCCCCGTTTCTCGGCCCCTGTATCTCGGCCCCTGTATCTCGGCCCCCGTATCTCGGCCCCCGTATCTCTGCCCCTGTATCTCGGCCCCCGTATCTCGGCCCCCGTATCTCGGCCCCCGTATCTCGGCCCCTGTATCTCGGCCCCCGTATCTCGGCCCCCGTATCTCGGCCCCCGTATCTCGGCCCCCGTATCCTGGCCCCTGCATCTTGGCCCTTGTATCTCGGCCCCTGTATCTCGGCCCCTGTATCTCGGCCCCCGTATCTCGGCCCCCGTATCTCTGCCCCTGTATCTCGGCCCCCGTATCTCGGCCCCCGTATCTCGGCCCCCGTATCTCGGCCCCCGTATCTCGGCCCCCGTATCTCGGCCCCCGTATCTCGGCCCCCGTATCTCTGCCCCTGTATCTCGGCCCCCGTATCTCGGCCCCCGTATCTCGGCCCCCGTATCCTGGCCCCTGCATCTTGGCCCTTGTATCTCGGCCCCTGTATCTCGCCCCCTTATCTCGGCCCCCGTTTCTCGGCCCCTGTATCTCGGCCCCTGTATCTCGGCCCCCTTATCTCGGCCCCCGTTTCTCGGCCCCTGTATCTCGGCCCCCTTATCTCGGCCCCTGTATCTCGGCCCCTGTATCTCGGCCCCCGTATCTCTGCCCCTGTATCTCGGCCCCCGTATCTCGGCCCCTGTATCTCGGCCCCCGTATCTCGGCCCCTGTATCTCGGCCCCCGTATCTCTGCCCCTGTATCTCGGCCCCCGTATCTCGGCCCCCGTATCTCTGCCCCTGTATCTCGGCCCCCGTATCTCGGCCCCCGTATCTCGGCCCCCGTATCTCGGCCCCTGTATCTCGGCCCCCGTATCTCGGCCCCCGTATCTCGGCCCCCGTATCTCGGCCCCTGTATCTCGGCCCCGTATCTCGGCCCCCGTATCTTGGCCCCTGTATCCTGTTTGTGTGTTGTTCTTGTTGAATATGTCAGTTGGTTTTGTTGTCTTTAATGAAGGGGAAAATAATAGTAAAAAGAAAAACCACAGTTCCCTTTTCAAGATGGCCGCTCACAAAACCGACCTCACTTTTGGAATCGTCACAACTTTCTCTGAATGACTCAAACTCACATTATCCACATGTTTCCACTTCATTTTTTACAGTTTTCATCGTCCCAGAGAGAAATCACATCCTTTAATCCTTTATCTTCCAAAGTAAATAATCTCAGAGGTGTTTCAGAACGTGCAGCGATCCAAAAGATATCAGTGTGTGTGTTCTGTCCTAATGTGGAACATGTGAAGAGGAGTGGGCGGGGCACACCCACTGTCAGCAGGTACAACGAGGAGGGACCAGGAAGAAACATACACAGGGTCTAAATACACACAGAGACACACACACAGAGACACACACAGAGACACACAGAGACACACACAGAGACACACACAGGGACACACACAGAGACACAAACAGAGACAGAGACACACACAGAGACAGAGACACACAGAGACACAAACAGAGACAGAGACACAGACAGACACAGAGACACACAGAGACACAGACAGAGACACACACAGAGACACACACAGAGACACAGACAGAGACACACACAGAGACACACACAGAGACACACACAGAGACACACACAGACACACACAGACACACACAGAGACACACACAGACACACACACAGACACACACACAGGGACACACACAGAGAGACACACAGGGACACAGACAGAGACACACACAGACACACACAGGGACACAGACAGAGACACACACACACACAGGGACACAGACAGAGACACACACAGACACACACACAGGGACACACAGAGACACACACAGAGACGCACACAGAGACGCACACAGAGACACACACAGAGACACACACAGGGACACAGACAGAGACACACACAGACACACACAGAGACACACACAGAGACACACAGAGACACACACAGGGACACAGACAGAGACACACACAGAGACACACACAGAGACACACACAGACACACACAGAGACACAAACAGAGACAGAGACACACACAGAGACAGAGACACACAGAGACACAAACAGAGACAGAGACACACACAGAGACACACAGAGACACACACAGACACACACAGAGACACACACAGAGACACACACAGACACACACAGAGACACACACAGAGACACACACAGAGACACACACAGACACACACAGAGACAAACACAGAGACACACACAGGGTCTAAATACACACAGAGACACACACAGGGACACAGACAGAGACACACAGAGACGCACACAGAGACGCACACAGAGACACACAGAGACACACACAGACAGAGACACACACAGAGACACACACAGGGACACAGACAGAGACACACACAGACACACACAGAGACACACACAGAGACAAACACAGAGACACACACAGAGACACAGACAGAGACACACACAGGGACACACACAGAGACACAGACAGAGACACACACAGGGACACACACAGAGACACAGACAGAGACACACACAGGGACACACACAGAGAGACACACACAGACACACACAGAGACACACACAGGGACACACACAGAGACACAGACAGAGACACACACAGGGACACATACAGAGACACAGACAGAGACACACAGAGAGACACACACAGAGACACACACAGACACACACACAGACACACACAGAGACACACACAGAGACAAACACAGAGACACACACAGGGTCTAAATACACACAGAGACACACACAGACACACACACAGAGACACACACAGACACACACAGAGACACACACAGAGACAAACACAGAGACACACACAGGGTCTAAATACACACAGAGACACACACAGACACACACACAGAGACACAGACAGAGACACACAGAGAGACACACACACAGACACACACAGAGACACAGACAGAGACACACACAGAGACACAGAGACACACACAGAGACACACACAGACACACACAGAGACACACACAGAGACACAGACAGAGACGCAGATAGTATTGCCTCATAGTTAATCATTTTTTGCAGTGAGCTAAAACCAGTCCGCACCGTGACAAACCAGTCCGCACCATGACAAACCAGTCCGCACCGTGACAAACCAGTCCGCACCATGACAAACCAGTCCGCACCATGACAAACCAGTCCGCACCATGACAAACCAGTCCGCACCATGACAAACCAGTCCGCACCATGACAAACCAGTCCGCACCATGACAAACCAGTCCGCACCATGACAAACCAGTCCGCACCAGGACACACCAGTCCACACCATGACACACCAGTCCACACCATGACAAACCAGTCCGCACCGTGACAAACCAGTCTGCACCGTGACAAACCAGTCCACACCATGACAAACCAGTCCACACCATGACAAACCAGTCCGCACCATGACAAACCAGTCCGCACCGTGACAAACCAGTCCGCACCGTGACAAACCAGTCCGCACCGTGACAAACCAGTCCGCACCATGACAAACCAGTCCGCACCAGGACAAACCAGTCCTTACCGTGACAAACCAGTCCGCACCGTGACACACCAGTCCACACCATGACAAACCAGTCCACACCGTGACAAACCAGTCCGCACCATGACACACCATTCCGCACCGTGACACACCAGTCCACACCATGACAAACCAGTCTGCACCGTGACAAACCAGTCCGCACCGTGACACACCAGTCCACACCATGACAAACCAGTCCACACCGTGACAAACCAGTCCGCACCATGACACACCAGTCCGCACCGTGACACACCAGTCCACACCATGACAAACCAGTCTGCACCGTGACAAACCAGTCCGCACCATGACAAACCAGTCCGCACCATGACAAACCAGTCCACACCGTGACAAACCAGTCCGCACCATGACACACCAGTCTGCACCATGACAAACCAGTCCGCACCATGACAAACCAGTCTGCACCGTGACAAACCAGTCCACACCATGACAAACCAGTCCACACCATGACAAACCAGTCCGCACCATGACAAACCAGTCTGCACCATGACAAACCAGTCCACACCATGACAAACCAGTCCACACCATGACAAACCAGTCCGCACCATGACAAACCAGTCTGCACCGTGACACACCAGTCTGCACCGTGACACACCAGTCCGCACCGTGACACACCAGTCCGCACCGTGACACACCAGTCCGCACCATGACAAACCAGTCCGCACCGTGACAAACCAGTCCGCACCAGGACAAACTCGTACAGTTTGGGGGTTCCTCAAGAGTCGCTCGTGGGCCCCTCTTCTTGTTTACTTCATAGCTGTGATATAAATACTTGTGTGTGATATAAATACTTGTGTGTGATATAAATACTTGTGTGTGATATAAATACTTGTGTGTGATATAAATACTTGTGTGTTATATAAATACTTGTGTGTGATATAAATACTTGTGTGTGATATAAATACTTGTGTGTGATATAAATACTTGTGTGTTATATAAATACTTGTGTGTTATATAAATACTTGTGTGTGATATAAACACTTGTGTGTGATATAAATACTTGTGTGTGATATAAATACTTGTGTGTGATATAAATACTTGTGTGTGATATAAATACTTGTGTGTTATATAAATACTTGTGTGTTATATAAATACTTGTGTGTGATGTAAATACTTGTGTGTGATATAAATACTTTTGTGTGATATAAATACTTGTGTGTGATATAAATACTTGTGTGTGATATAAATACTTGTGTGTGTGCAGTTCTAATCCCGTTTCTCCGCTGGTCCGTCTCGCACTACTGCCTCGGCTCCGGATCTCAGCTGCGAAGGTTTTAAGTTTGAGGTTTTATGAGATTGTCTGAGATCCGGTGTAATCCAGTTACAGCTTTGATGGGAACCATTAGAGACGCTTGTTTGTTTTGTGTTTCGTCAGCGAAACTAAAAGGTTTGTGGTTCATTGCAGTTTTCTGACGGTGGGTTCAGTCCGTTCCTGAGTGTGGTGCGATCTTTAATCCATCACTTTTCATATAAATATTTTCTAACTTTGTTCACGACAATATTTCGGTTCAACCTGATTCGGCTCGAGGCAGAACATTTAATCTGAGCCCATTCTGTCTTAAAACAAGATTCTCCAACACGGCAAAGCCATTTCATCTCATTCCGCCTGTTTGGAGAATCTGGTTTTAAGGCTCAGTACTTCTTGTGTAATTTAAGAAAAAAATTAAATTATGTTTTGCAGTGCATTGTTTTAAAGCTTTGTCAAATGAGTTAAAGGAGCAGTGTGTAAACGTGTGGCCCAAAGTGGTACTGCAGCCTCTCCCACTCTCCCTGACTCAGGTTGCCAGATATGCAGACGAATCCAGCTGGGACCATAACAGCTGAATAGACAACTCCACACGGTGAGTTCTGGCGCCCGGATCACAGACTTTCTGATTGGTGAAACGGTGGAGGGCGGGACATCGAAATGAAAACAATAACAAGATTTAGAGGCTGGAAAAGTAATTTAGAAATTCAAATATCTCTGAACTACAGTCATCAGTTAAAGAAGTATTGGAAAAGAACAGTTCATTATTATGACAGATTAGGGCCCTTTAATGAGGACAGATTAAGGCCGTTTAATGATGATAGATTAGGGCCCTTTAATGATGACAGATTAGGGCCCTTTAATGAGGAAAGATTAGGGCCCTTTAATGATGACAGATTAGGGCCCTTTAATGAGGACAGATTAGGGCCCTTTAATGATGACAGATTAGGGCCCTTTAATGAGGACAGATTAGGGCCCTTTAATGAGGATAGATTAGGGCCCGTTAATGATGACAGATTAGGGCCCTTTAATGAAGACAGATTAGGGCCCTTTAATGACAGATTAGGGCCCTTTAATGATGACAGATTAGGGCCCTTTAATGAGGACAGATTAGGGCCCTTTAATGAGGACAGATTAAGGCCCTTTAATGATGATAGATTAGGGCCCTTTAATGATGACAGATTAGGGCCCTTTAATGAGGACAGATTAGGGCCCTTTAATGATGACAGATTAGGGCCCTTTAATGATGACAGATTAGGGCCCGTTAATGATGACAGATTAGGGCCCTTTAATGATGACAGATTAGGGCCCTGTAATGAGGACAGATTAGGGCCCTTTAATGATGACAGATTAGGGCCTGTTAATGATGACAGATTAGGGCCCTTTAATGATGACAGATTAGGGCCCGTTAATGATGACAGATTAGGGCCCTTTAATGATGACAGATTAGGGCCCTGTAATGAGGACAGATTAGGGCCCTTTAATGAGGACAGATTAAGGCCGTTTAATGATGATAGATTAGATTAGGGCCCTTTAATGATGACAGATTAGGGCCCTTTAATGAGGACAGATTAGGGCCCTTTAATGATGACAGATTAGGGCCCTTTAATGAGGACAGATTAGGGCCCGTTAATGATGACAGATTAGGGCCCTTTAATGAGGACAGATTAAGGCCGTTTAATGATGATAGATTATGGCCCTTTAATGATGACAGATTAGGGCCCTTTAATGAGGACAGATTAGGGCCCTTTAATGATGACAGATTAGGGCCCTTTAATGAGGACAGATTAGGGCCCTTTAATGAGGACAGATTAGGGCCCTTTAATGATGACAGATTAGGGCCCTTTAATGATGACAGATTAGGGCCCTTTAATGATGACAGATTAGGGCCCTTTAATGATGACAGATTAGGGCCCTTTAATGATGACAGATTAGGGCCCTTTAATTATGACAGATTAGGGCCCTTTAATGAGGACAGATTAGGGCCCTTTAATGATGACAGATTAGGGCCCTTTAATGAGGACAGATTAGGGTCCTTCTTAAAATCTAATTTAAAATTTTACATATTGCTTAGCTCAGCGTGTAGAGCATTGGCCTTTGAGCCCGAAGGTTGTGGGTTCGAGCCCATCCCGGGACCGTCTCCACCGACTCCCACTGCTGTCGTTGTGTCCTTGGGCAAGACACTTAACCCCACTTTGCCAATAAGGAGCAGAAGTACCTGTGAGCCAGTGAAGTGAGGCCAGCACAGGGGTGATGTGCTCTCTCTGTCCCTGTGAGCCAGTGAAGTGAGGCCAGCACAGGGGTGATGTGCTCTCTCTGTCCCTGTGAGCCAGTGAAGTGAGGCCAGCACAGGGGTGATGTGCTCTCTGTACCTGTGAGCCAGTGAAGTGAGGCCAGCACAGGGGTGATGTGCTCTCTCTGTACCTGTGAGCCAGTGAAGTGAGGCCAGCACAGGGGTGATGTGCTCTTTGTCCCTGTGAGCCAGTGAAGTGAGGCCAGCACAGGGGTGATGTGCTCTCTGTACCTGTGATCCAGTGAAGTGAGGCCAGCACAGGGGTGATGTGCTCTCTCTGTACCTGTGAGCCAGTGAAGTGAGGCCAGCACAGGGGTGATGTGCTCTCTCTGTACCTGTGAGCCAGTGAAGTGAGGCCAGCACAGGGGTGATGTGCTCTTTGTCCCTGTGAGCCAGTGAAGTGAGGCCAGCACAGGGGTGATGTGCTCTCTGTACCTGTGAGCCAGTGAAGTGAGGCCAGCACAGGGGTGATGTGCTCTCTGTCCCTGTGAGCCAGTGAAGTGAGGACAGCACAGGGGTGATGTGCTCTCTGTCCCTGTGAGCCAGTGAAGTGAGGCCAGCACAGGGGTGATGTGCTCTCTCTGTCCCTGTGAGCCAGTGAAGTGAGGCCAGCACAGGGGTGATGTGCTCTCTCTGTCCCTGTGAGCCAGTGAAGTGAGGCCAGCACAGGGGTGATGTGCTCTCTCTGTACCTGTGAGCCAGTGAAGTGAGGCCAGCACAGGGGTGATGTGCTCTCTGTACCTGTGAGCCAGTGAAGTGAGGCCAGCACAGGGGTGATGTGCTCTCTGTACCTGTGAGCCAGTGAAGTGAGGCCAGCACAGGGGTGATGTGCTCTCTGTCCCTGTGAGCCAGTGAAGTGAGGCCAGCACAGGGGTGATGTGCTCTCTGTACCTGTGAGCCAGTGAAGTGAGGCCAGCACAGGGGTGATGTGCTCTCTGTACCTGTGAGCCAGTGAAGTGAGGCCAGCACAGGGGTGATGTGCTCTCTCTGTCCCTGTGAGCCAGTGAAGTGAGACCAGCACAGGGGTGATGTGCTCTCTCTGTCCCTGTGAGCCAGTGAAGTGAGGCCAGCACAGGGGTGATGTGCTCTCTCTGTCCCTGTGAGCCAGTGAAGTGAGGCCAGCACAGGGGTGATGTGCTCTCTGTACCTGTGAGCCAGTGAAGTGAGTACCTGTGAGTAAGCGAGCAGCAGCATTCTGCACCTTCTTCTTTAAAGGGAACTATCTAAAATCAGGTTAAACGTGACATAACCTGAAACCCTCCAGGAATCTTGAGGGACGTAGTAAACAACTATAACCATGACAAGATTAGATAAACTTTATTGATCTCAGCGGATTTCCGACGTGACAGAATCCACGGAGTCCTTCTGTGTGTTCCAGAGTCGGCTTTTAGGAACGTGGCTCTGGAGCGTTCATGTCTGAGTCTGAGTCTGAGGAGAGTGAATAATTCATATCAATTCATATCAATTCATATGGGGGCGACAGTAGCTCAGTTGGTAGAGCATTGCCCTTCAGGCCTGAAGGTCGTGGGTTCAATTCCCACCTCCACACCTTCTCCACCGACTCCCACTGATGACTGCTGTCGTTGTGTCCTTGGGCAAGACACTTAACCCCACTTTGCCCAAAGCCCCCACTGAAAGATCAAGGCTATGCTCACACTCAGAGAGCAGCCGTCGTCCTGTGGACTCACCACCTGCAGAGGGTCAGTGAGGGGCTGGTGCTATGAGACTTGGGTGGCATCTCTGACTGCCACCCCCCTGACCCAGAAATGGATTAAAGGGTAGAAAATGGATGGATGGATGGATGGACATCCACTGAAGCTGTGTGTGTTGGAACAGCGCCAATTAGCAACGTTAGTCAGTACCATGAAAGGAAGAACAAGGGCAGGATGAAGAAGAAAAGAAACCTTATAAATTCGTACCTTATTCTTATATAAATGCATAAAAGTTTGTTCCAGTTGGAACAAACTCATACTTGTTCTTACAAATTAACTAATTGCATTGGCACTGTTATTATTATTGTTACGATAATTTGAATTGTTATGATTATTATTATTACTTTTATTTTCTATTTTAATGTTAATTTAGTTTTCATATTATTATTATATATTA